CAGGAAGTTTGCTGGGAAGGGCAAAGGTAAACAGTTGGCGGCTATGCAAATGCCTGGTCAGTTCAAGAGGACTGCTTCACAGCAGGGGAGTTTTACTAGGCCTCCTTCCACTCCGAGATGTGCGGGGTTGATGAACCCTTAGTTCATCATGGTTTTTAGCAGGAATTAGGATCAAATTGTGTGATTAAATGATGAAAAACAAGGTTAATGTCCTAAGATGTCCTCAATTACAAGTTCAAGAGCTTTATAGGAAATTTGTATGATTCTTGTAGGAAAAGCAAGCTTGAAAGACAACTGGAGAAGGAAGAAGATTCTGGAGCTCAAGAGGAGAAAAATTGCCTAAGTGTTGAGCGCTAAAACGTCCACACTGAGCGTTTTAGCGCCCTGTTACAGAAAGAGGCCAAAACTTGCTGGTGATAAGCGCTAAAACGTCCACACAGAGTGTTTTAGCGCGCTGCTACACTAAGAAGATGGAAAATTGCTGGTCTTGGACGCAAAAACGGCCTGCAATATGCGTTTTAGCGCCCTAAAGTGGAAAAAGATTCTGGTCTTCACCGCTAAAACGTCCAAATCAAACGTTTTAGCGTTGGAGTCAGTTAAAGTTAGTTGAACATTCACCAAGTTTGGACTCTAAAACGGTCATTCCTTAACGTTTTAGCGTTGAAATCAGTTAAAAGCAGTTGAGCACACGTAAAGCATGGACGCTAAAACGGCCACTTATTGACGTTTTATCGCCCACATCAGTTTTCTGTTTTTAATTGTAACACTATATAAGGCAAAGCCTTGACACTTAGAGAAAGATCTTGGGGGATCTGAACTCTCTCTCTCTCTAAAACTTAGTCTGACTTCTCTCTAAATTCTCTTAGTTTTTGTATTAGGATTTCCTTGTAATAGTTTGGAGATTGAAGACTTTCAACATGGAAATGAGGTTTGTTTCTTCTTCTCTTAATTATTCCTTAGTCATGTCTGAGTAGAGTCTTTGTAGTCTGAATGCAATGGAACTCCATGATAATATTATGTTGATTTGATTAATATGATGAAGTATTTTTCATGTGCTGATTTGAGATATTCTGAGTTAATTATTTCTATCAAAGAAGTAGTATAGAACAGGGATGTTTATATGACTTCTGCATTTGATAATCTCAACATCAGAATTCTAGTACTCAAGGGATTGATGCTAGAGTTCTGATGTAATCTTAAAACCTTAGTATTTCATGCATGTATTAAGAAAGAAATCACCAAGGGATTGGGGTTTCTGATTAATGTTTCTATCAGGGTAGTAAGGGATTACATCTTGATGATAAGTAAAAGGTTGATTAACATCACATGGAAAGGAATTCATCATATGATCAATTTTTATATGGGTTATCATGGATGAAAGTTGTTTTCTGACTACTTGTTGTTTTTATTAATTCCTAATCCATATTTACTTTGTGTCAATTTGCTCAAAATCAATTTTCTGGTGATAAATTATTCATGATTTTTACAAACTTTTATTTGATTCAAATTAGTTTTCTATGGTATTTTGGTGTTTGAACACAATTCCTCGTGGGAACGATCTTTACTCATCATTTTATTACTTGTACGACTAGTGCACTTGCTAAACGTCCAACAAGTTTTTGGCGCCGTTGCCGGGGAATTTGTTTTTCAACACTAACTGATACTATAGAATTCTGAGATTGAATCCTTTTATTTTCAGTATTTTAGTTTATGTTAAATTTCTGGTCAATTTTGATTCTGGTACATGCGAGGTACACTTGATCCAAATTTGTTGTTATTTGATCCAGAATTAGAAAAGACATTGAGGAAGCACAAAAGGGCAGCCAGGCAAAGGAGACAGTTGCAAGAAATTGGTGAATCAAGTACGGTTAATAAGGAAGATATAATGGAAGAGAATCACAGACCACCACCACCACAGAGGACACTGGGAGAGTACATGACTCCTGTAGTGGTTCCTCCAATTGGGAGTGTTGTGCGCCCAATAGTGGAGCCCAACAACTTTGAATTGAAGCCTGCTTTGATACATTTGGTGCAGAAGGATCAGTTTGCTGGAACCAGTGCGGAGGACCCTTACTTGCACATAGAGAACTTCCTATTGTTAAGTGATACTGTGAAGATAAACGGTGTCACAAGAGATGCAATTCTGTTGAGACTATTCACTCATTCACTGATGGATGATGCAAGGAGATGGCTGCAATCATTGCCACAAGGAAGTATAACAACTTGGGATGATTTGCAAACCAAGTTCTTGCAAAGGTTTTTCTCAGCATCCAAGAGGGCCAAGTTGAAGGATGAAATTACAAGCTTTAAGCAGAAAGAGTCAGAATCTATTTATGAGGCTTGGGAGAGATTCAAGACTTTGTTGAGGAAATGTCCACAGCATGGAATTGAGGCATGACAACAAGCAGCAATCTTCCTGCAAGGAATGACCACTAACACTAGAACCTTGGTGCATGCCACTGCTGGTGGATCATTGACTACCAAGACCCCTCAAGAAGCCTTAGATATCTTTGAGTCATTAGCATCTCAAGAATTTGATAATGCTCCAGTGGCTGACAGAAGGACAGGAATTATGAGGTTGGATGGGTATGATGCTTTGTTGGCAAGGAATGATCAACTGATGCAGACACAGAGACAACAACAGCAACAATTAGATACCCTTATTAAGCAACTCTCTTCACAAAAGGTAGCTTCTGTGGAAACAAAGAGTGTATGTGCTATCTGTGGTAAGGGCCATGTGACAGAGGAGTGTGATTATGGGGGATCATCAGAACAAGCAGAGGTGAATGGAGTGTGGTATGATCAGAATAATCAAAGGAACTACAACAATCAGGGAAAGAATGTTTATATGCCACCATGGAAAAACAAGAATCAACACCCAGGATTCAGCTATAGTTCCAACCACCAATTGAATCCACCATTACATCCTCCACCACCACATATAAAGGAGCAGTCAAGTGATCCTGCTGCATGGGAGAAAGCGTTTGCTCAGTTATCTAAGACAACTCAGGATTATATTCAGGGTTCTACTTCATTCAGGGAAGAGACAACTGCATTCATGCAGGAGACCAGAACTTCTTTCAGAAATCAGGAAGCATCAATCAGAAATTTGGAGACCCAGATTGGTCAATTATCAAGACAGATATTAGAGAGACCACAAGGGAAATTTCCAAGTGATACACTGGTGAATCCTAAGGAGCACTGTAAAGCAATTATGACAAGAAGTGGGTTGGTACTTCAACCAGGGAAAAAAAAGGTGGAAAATAAAAAGAATGAAGAAGAGGTTGTGGTTGAAGATGTAGTCTCTGATGATGAAGGAGAGAAAATGAGAAATGAGAAAAGTGAGAAGGAAGTAGTTGTTAGAGATGTTATAGTTGGAGTTGACAAAGAAGAGGAAGGGAAGGACAATAAGAATGAAGGAGAGGTAGAAGTTGGTAAAAATGCTTCCCCACAAAAGATGATGAAGTGGGAAAAGAAGAAGATGGCTGACAAGAAAGAACAGCCAGTTAGTTTATCTCCCTATGCTAAAGTTCCCTACCCTCAGAGGTTGAAGAAAGAGATTCAGAAGCAGCACTATGCAAGATTTCTGGATATCTTCAAAAATTTACAAATTAACATACCATTTTCTGAAGCACTGGAAAATATGCCTCACTATGCAAAATTCATGAAGGATCTTCTTACTAAGAAGAGGAAATTAACTGATGGTGAGACAGTGGCCCTAACAGCAGTGTAGTGCCCTAATCCAGAAGAAGCTTCCAACAAAAATGAAAGATCCAGGAAGCTTCAGTATCTCTATTGCTATAGGAGATGTGGAGGTGGGAAAGGCATTGTGTGATTTGGGAGCCAGTATAAACTTGATGCCATTGACAGTATGTAGAGCTTTGGGAATTAACACTTTAAAGGAGACCAATCTTATTCTGCATCTTGCAGATAGATCTATCAAGAGGCCTGAAGGTGTGGTTGAAGATGTCTTGGTCAAGGTAGACAAGTTTATTTTTCCAGTGGATTTTGTGATTCTTGACATGGAGGAAGAGGATACAGAAAGTCCTTTATTGTTAGGAAGACCCTTTTTAGCAACTGCAAGATCTTTGATAGATGTTGAACAAGGAAAGTTGTTGCTAAGGGTGGATGAGGAAACAGTCACAATTGATGTATTTGAAACCATCAAGCATCCTGTTGATGTGGAAGATTGTTTTAGATTGGATGTGATACAGGAGGTTGTGGAAGAAGTGAATAAAAAAGAAGAATTCCCAGTTGAGGAACAAAGATCAGAAGAAGAGATAGGTACAGAGGATTACCAAGAAGAGCCAGAAGTGGAAGAGCTTGAGAAGAAGATTGATGACATTCCAAAAGGAGCACCTAAGGTAGAACTTAAGGAATTACCTTCACATTTGAAGTATGTGTTCCTTGGGGATGATCAAACATATCCAGCAATCATTAATGCAATGTTGTCTGATGAGGAAGAAGGGAAGTTGATTAAGGTACTCAAGAAGAATAAAATGGCTATTGGATGGCAGTTTTCAGATCTCAAGGGTATTAATCCTTCCTTTTGCACCCACAAAATATTGATGGAAGAAGAGGTCAAACCAGTAAGGCAACCACAGAGGAGACTCAACCCCACTATGAAGGAAGTAGTGAGGAAGGAGGTGGTGAAGTTGCTAGATGCTGGGATGATTTACCCAATTTCAGACAGTGCTTGGGTGAGTCCTGTGCAGACCGTGCCCAAGAAAGGGGGGATGACTGTGGTGAAAAATGAGAACAATGAGTTGATTCCCACCAGGACAATCACTGGTTGGAGAATGTGCATTGATTACCGGAGGCTGAATAAGGCAACCAGGAAGGATCATTTTCCACTTCCTTTCTTGGATCAGATGCTAGAGAGGTTGGCAGGACATGCTTTCTATTGCTTCTTGGACGGTTATTCAGGGTACAATCAGATAGCTGTGGCACCAGAGGATCAGGAGAAGACTGCTTTTACATGTCCATATGGAATATTCGCATACCGGAGGATGCCTTTCGGTTTATGCAATGCTCCTGCCACATTTCAAAGGTGCATGCTTTCCATTTTTTCTGATATGATAGAAGAATGCATTGAAATTTTTATGGATGATTTCTCTGTATTTGGTTCTGATTTTGATGTATGTCTAGGGAATTTAGATTCTGTTTTGAAAAGATGTCAAGACTGTAATTTGGTTTTGAACTGGGAGAAGTGCCACTTTATGGTGACAGAAGGTATAGTTCTTGGACACAAGGTGTCTAGGAATGGAATTGAGGTGGACAGGGCAAAAATTTCTGTGATAGAGAAACTTCCTCCACCTGTAAATGTTAAGGGTGTGAGGAGTTTTCTTGGTCATGCAGGATTTTATAGGCGGTTTATAAAAGATTTTTCAAAAATTGCTAAGCCCTTATGCAAGTTATTAGTTAAGGATCAAGAATTTCTGTTTGATGATGAATGTTTGCATGCATTTCATGTTTTAAAAGAAAAGTTGACCACTGCACCTATCATGATGGCACCTGATTTTTCATTACCATTTGAATTAATGTGTGATGCCAGTGACTATGCCGTAGGAGTGGTATTGGGCCAAAGAGTGAATAAATTGTTGCATGTCATTTACTATGCCAGTAAGATCTTAAATGATGCACAAAAGAATTATGCTACTACAGAAAAAGAATTACTGGCTATTGTGTATGCATTTGACAAATTCAGGCCATATCTGTTAGGATCAAAAGTTATTGTTTACACTGACCATGCAGCTTTAAAGTATTTGTTGAGCAAGCAGGATGCTAAACCCAGATTGCTCCGCTGGTTGTTACTGTTGCAAGAGTTTGAGGTAGAAATCAAGGACAAAAAGGGAGTTGAAAATTTGGTGGCTGATCACTTATCCAGGATTACAGAAAAAGAGCTTCAAGAAGGGCCGGAAGTAGTGATCAGAGAAGAGTTTCCTGATGAACATGTTTTGGCAATATGTGCTGTAACAGAGATGGTTGGGGATAAAGTCTTATCTATAAGCACACCACCATGGTTTGCTGATTTTGCCAACAATAAAGCTGCTGGATTGATGCCTAAGGATTTAACATGGCAACAGAGGAAGAAATTTCTGCATGATGTTAAGAGGTATATTTGGGATGAGCCATATCTCTTCTATAGATGTTCAGATAGTGTGATCCGACGGTGTATTCCAGAGGAAGAACAGAAGGATGTGTTGTGGCATTGTTATGGTTCTGCATATGGTGGACATTTTGCAGGTGAGAGAACTGCAGCAAAAGTTTTGATGAGTGGTTTCTACTGGCCCACTTTGTACAAGGATGCAAAGAAGTTTGTGGAGGCATGTGACAACTGTCAGAGAACTGGGAATATTTCTAGGCGACATGAAATGCCGTTGAACAATATCCAGGAAGTGGAGATCTTTGATGTTTGGGGTATGGATTTTATGGGACCTTTCCCTTCTTCCTACTCTAACAAGTATATATTGGTGGCAGTTGATTATGTTTCCAAATGGGTTGAGGCTATAGCTACACCAACCAATGATTCCAGGGTGGTGATTGCTTTTCTGAGAAAGAATATATTTTCAAGATTTGGAGTCCCTAGAGCTATCATTAGTGATGGGGGCACTCATTTTGATAATAGGATGGTGGAGTATGCCTTGGCTAAGTATGGAGTGAGGCACAAAATAAGCACTCCATATCACCCACAGACTTGTGGTCAGGTTGAGATTTCCAACAGGGAATTGAAGAGAATATTGGAGAAGACTGTTGGGAATGCTAGGACCCAGTGGTCCAAGAAACTTGATGACACCTTATGGGCATACAGGACCGCTTTCAAAACTCCTATTGGGATGTCTCCATTTCAGTTGCTGTTTGGAAAAGCATGCCATTTGCCAGTTGGATTGGAGCACAAGGCTTTGTGGGCTGTGAGATATCTGAATTTTGATTCCAAAGCAGCGGGACAGAAAAGATTATTACAACTGGATGAATTGGATGAGTTTCGTTTGTCTGCTTATGAAAGTGCCAGTTTGTATAAGGAAAAGACAAAGCTATGGCATGATAGGAAGATCACACCTAGAGACTTCAAGGTAGGGGATCAAGTACTTCTGTTCAATTCCAGGTTGAAGCTGTTCCCAGGGAAGTTAAAGTCTAGATGGTCTGGACCGTTTGTGGTAAAGGATATGAAACCATATGGGGCTGTAGAAATCAGTTCTTTGGATTCGGACAGAAGTTTTACAGTCAATGGTCAACGATTGAAGTTATATGTTGGAAGTGCTGTGGATAGGCAACTACTGACAGTTGCTCTATTAGAGGTAAAATAGATCATAACCGTCAGGCTCGTGACGTTAAACAAGCGCTGAGTGGGAGGCAACCCACTGTACTAGGTATGTAATTCCATGTTCATACCATATCCATAAGAGGAAGAAGAAAAAGGAAATTTTTTTTTGAAAAATCAAAGAGAAATTTTTTGCTATGTGCTGGGCGCTAAAACGTCAACCATGACCGTTTTAGCGTCCCCAGAGTTCCATCATTATGAAACTCTCTGGTTGTGCGCGCTAAGACGTTCATTATGAGCGTTTTAGCGTTCACTGACAATACCAATCCATGCACTCTGGCCAACAGCGCTAAAACGCTAAGTCTGACCGTTTTAGCGCTGTGCTGCACAAAGTGTGTATTTTTCTCTGGACAAGGACGCTAAAACGCTGGTAAGCCAACGTTTTAGCGCCCTGTCACTAATTCGATATAACAGAGTTCCTCTTCTCTTTTCCTCTTACATTCTTATACTTTGCCTCTGTTCTCCACAACGCAATCCTTATCTCAAATTTGTATCATCCATCTTCGTAGTTTCTTCCACATCTTCTCATCAACATCAAGGTATGTAACTCATCTCAATTCCCTCCATCACTCATCATATCTGAAGCATGCAATTATTGGGCATTTTCTAGGGCATTCACATGTTGATTGCCTGTATCTTCGAAGGATTGCATGTTGATTTAGTTTTATTGGTATTATTCTCCTGAACTTTTGCTTTTGACTGGTATTTTGGGAAGAGACAACAAATCAAGTGAGTGTTGGTTCTCAGTTGTCTTCAAACAACAACCCAGCGTACACACACACAAGGTGTTCGTGGAAATGCCTGACCCAAAAATTGGCCTAGCGCTAAAACGCTCAGTGTGACCGTTTTAGCGCCCGTCCAGTTTTTACACACATTAAGGTCTAGCGCTAAAACACTCAGTGTGACCGTTTTAGCGCCCGTCCAGTTTTTACACACGTTTAAGGCCAGGACGCTAAAACGCTCAGTGCGACCATTTTAGCGCCCAGGCCCTGTTTCATACAAAATTGAGGGTCTACATTATGGCATTGTGGGGTTGTAATTCATACATGTCAAAATTCCCCACTACAAGAGTTCTAAATCTGGAATTGTGGAATTGGATTCATGATATGTAATTGTTTGACATTTGGACTGATTTTCTCTTGTTGTGTAGGCACAATGTCTTCTCCTTCTCAACCAGCTCCTGCTACAAAAGGGAAAAAGAGATTTAAGAAGCGAGCACGAGTGAATCAAGGAGGAGATACTGAAGCTGAGTTTACCCCACAGTTTGATGCTCACTTTTGGAAAAGTGAGGAACATGAGAAAAGGTATACTGACAAGACTTCCAAGAGGCCATTTGTTAGAGAAAGAAAATTTGTTCTAGAACAGGATGAATATCCCCAGTTTCAGTCTCAGCTGAAGACCAGGGATTGGGCAACTTTTGGAAGAATACTGGGTGATAGCAGTCCTAACATAGCAAGGGAATTCTTTGCTAATGCATTTAATGGAGATCAAGGAGGCCAGAGGACTTTCACTAGCTGGGTGAGGGGAAAGAAAGTGAAGTATGATGCTCACACTATCCAAAAGCTGCTGAAGATAAGGTTCTGTGACAATATCCACAATGCCAGTTGTGAGTTCAGGAGAAACTGGCAGAATATTGAAATTCCACCAAGGAGGAGTGACCCAAACTTTGACACCTGGACCAAGATGGGGGCAGCTGAGCCTATTTTGCAGACGATAGCCAAACCTGGTGAAACTTGGGAGTTAACCAAGGATAAGGTTGCTCCTAAGTTGATTTGGTTGAGGCATTTAAATGGTGAGGCTAGAGTCTGGTTTCACTTTGTAATCTCAAATGTCATGCCCTCTTCCAACCAGGCAGAGGTTATCCTGAAGAGAGCTGTCCTGATTCACACTATCATGACAAGGGCGAAGGTGGAACTTCTTATTCTCCTTCAGGACAGCATTTATGATATGGCTCACTCTGACAGTGACTCTGCTGCTTTGGGTCACTGTTCCTTGATTCAGTTGCTTTGTCAGAAAGCTGGTGTAGATGTTACTGATAATGGGGCACCAACTAAATTGCACCCTACAATTGATGCCGCCATGATTACAAAGCAATTGAAGATAGGAGGAGGGGAGGTCACAGGATTGACTCCTGGTAGGAAATCTACAACTCAGAGTGATGATGAATTTGAAGAGAGGCTAAGGACAGGGGAGCAATGGACGGTGAACACTGACTTCCAAATGAGACATTTGCGCAGGCGTCTCCGATTTATGCAGTCCAGCCAGCACTCATTTCAGACATACATGGTGACGATGTTGAAATCTATATGTGAGGCTCAGGGCTTAGATGTTATTGATTATCAGCCTGCTGTATACCCTCATTCTGATGAGGAGGAAGCCTTTGAGGCAATGGCCCGGACACACTATGCTGATCATGTGGATGGAGCTGCGCCTACTGATGGTGCTACATCTTCCCATGCTGCACCCACTCCAGAGAGACAGCCTGGTGTTGATGCTACTGCCACAGAGACCACTGCTGCTGCTGCTGCTGATACTGGTGCTATGGATGAGGACAGGGGTGTTGATCCTGAGTACAACCCCTTGCCTATTGCTGATCCAGGCTCATATTTGGTGTTTAGTGATGATGAAGAGTCTACTGATTAGACTTCTCATTTTGTTTTTATACATTTTCTGTTTTATGGTTTTATTTTGGATATTTTTAGTTGATTGTGGTATTATTTTCATTTTGTATATTTGTTAGTACATTGAGATTCTCTGTTTGAATGATGCACTTTTAAATAGTACTGATGCTATTTGTTGATATGTGAATGTGTTTCAGAATTTGTCAACTGCTTTTTAGATTTAAATTAGTTGCTGGGGACAACAACGTTTAAATCTGGGAATGGGGTGTGAATGAATGACATGATTATGGTGGAATCACACAGTTGATGATGACACACAGTTGATGAGCCACAAACAGGGAAACATCTCAATCCTTTCTTTTAAAATTCTTGTGAATATAGTTTTAGGTAGTTTAGGAAGTGTTTTATATGTACAAAGGTTGGATTTAGAGTTGAGATGATGTGAATTTTATGAGGATAGGATGATCAAAGTTTTACATGATGGATTAAACATTTGTTGATGCAATTTGAAATCCCTGCATATGTGCTAAATGATATGTTTGCATGACTCATGTTATGTGAGGAGTAGAGAGATCAGGTTGATGTATATAGAGGAATTCAAGCATGCACTCTGAACTGTGAGACATTGAGCCTATACAAAAAATTTTCTGTTCAGAGAGCACTTCACTGTATGAGTAACTCTAGAACTTGCCCTGTTTCTAACTTGAAATAGTTCATGGTTTGTAAAGTAGAGCTCATTGAGGCATTTTTCTTTTGAACCAAATTTTCTTATTGCATGGAAGCCTTAAGCCAGAATTTTTGTGATAAAACTAAGAGCCTGCACTTATTCCAGATCCTAAATTTTCAGATTATGTGTTCAGATAAGGGGTAAGGAGGAAGGCTCTGTAGGAAAGGTGTTTCTGCAATGAACAAAAATATTAAGTGTTAAGTGTTGGAAATTTGGAGAAAAAGAAGAATGCAATAAAAAAAGAAGAAGAGGGAAATGAGGAAGTAAAGGCACAAAGTGCTTGGTTTGGAAAAGGAAAAGAAAAAGGAAATGAGGAAAAAGGGAAATCAAAACAACACAAAGTGTTGAAAGTTGGAAGAAAAGGAGGAAGGAAGTTCAAGAAAAAGAAAAGTTGTAGAATGAGAAGGATTAAGGAGTACATAGATAAATTCAATAGTGATCCTCCTCTTATCTGAATCTGATCCATTTATCTAACCTTCTGCAACATCAAATCCTACCTTTAGCCAACTACATGCCAAGCCATTTTTCCTTCTTCTATACAGAATCCTATTCTTAGTCAAGTCATACCACCAAAGCCTCTTTTGTTCTGCTTATGAATCACTGTAACTATGGAAAGTGAGAAGATGGGCAAGCTTATAGTAGTTTGAGTGCAGTGGAGATTGAGTGATGAGTACACCCTTAGACACTAGAGTGCAAGAGAGTTTATTCTCACAATTTTTGAGAAGTTCCAAGTGAGGGGGTGTTTTGTGTTGAAGGTCTCTGCATTTCATCTTACTGATCTGTTGAAAGTCATTGTAATGAGGTTAAGCAAGTCATAGTAAAAGATAGATTGCTGGGTTGTTAGATTGTATCTTGGAAAGTTGATCTATCATATTTCAATCCAACCTCATAAATTTCATGTGTAAAGAATCTCAAGTCTTTCTCTGTCTTTAAAGTTATTGTTGAGGACAACAATATTCAAATCTGGGAATTGTGATGAACCCTTAGTTCATCATGGTTTTTAGCAGGAATTAGGATCAAATTGTGTGATTAAATGATGAAAAACAAGGTTAATGTCCTAAGATGTCCTCAATTACAAGTTCAAGAGCTTTATTGGAAATTTGTATGATTCTTGTAGGAAAAGCAAGCTTGAAAGACAACTGGAGAAGGAAGAAGATTCTGGAGCTCAAGAGGACAAAAATTGCCTAAGTGTTGAGCGCTAAAACGTCCACACTGAGCGTTTTAGCGCCTTGTTACAGGAAGAGGCCAAAACTTGCTGGTGTTGAGCGCTAAAACGTCCACACTGAGCGTTTTAGCGCCCTGTTACAGAAAGAGGCCAAAACTTGCTGGTGATGAGCGCTAAAACGTCCACACAGAGCGTTTTAGCGCGCTGCTACACTAAGAAGATGGAAAATTGCTGGTCTTGGACGCTAAAACGGCCTGCAATATGCG